ATCCCGTTTTGTTTTGCGACCGCGGCCAGCTGGGCTTTCCTCTGAGGGTTGCTGTCTAGGAACTTAGCGATTTTTTGCTTGGTAGCCGTGTTCTGTCCATGGAGTTGCTCGTTGAAAAGTTCTCGCTGCTGGGAAGTCCACTGGCTCGGCTTCGTGTTCAGCATCTGACTGGCATCTGTCTGCATTTTCAACCCCCGCCTCGACTGGTAAGAGTCTGTAGGGACACCATCTTTGTAGCTGACCATCTGGCGACCTCGTGCGGACACGTCTTTGACGACTTCTCTCACGAGCCTTTCGTCAATAGAGGCCAATTGTCTGGCACTCGGAAACCCAATCTTCGAGTTGATTATACCTGTCGCCCGCCCAATGCCAACAAATCGGCTGCCGCCCTTCCACCAATTCCAGACCACCGTGTATCCGCTCTTGAAGAAAACGGGAATCACCCAAAACCCCAGCAACCCTTGAGCGAATTGGACATACCTCTCTAGCTGCCCATTAAAGAACTCGGTGTTCAAGTCGGTCAGCGCATCAACCTTCACAGCCTCAAGCTCCCCAACGGTGGCATTGGCCAACTTAATCATGTAATGCTGGCGCAGAGCGCGGTCTTGATCGAGCGCGGCCAAAGGCGCGCTCATGAGCGTAATGTAGGTCTTCATGGCCTTCACTGTGAGGTGATCGTATGGGTTGGTGCACGGATGCGGGCAGTAAAAGTGTTGTTCCTCCACGTCATACATGTATGGCTGCAAGCTCGCGTCCGTCATGGCCGCCTGGGTTCCAACTGGGATTGCACCGAACAGAGCCCACATGCTTTCAACGGTCGTGGCAAGCTGCAGGCGAGGGAAGAAAGCGCCCATCCTGGCGCCAGCCTCTGACCACTCCTTGATGGTGCTCATCTCCGGCCTGTTGACCACCTTCTGTTGGAAGCCGGTGAGGTACTCGACGACGCCCTCTTGCAACTCCTTCTGCTTTAGGTTGAGCGCTGTAGCGCCAGCCATAGTGCCGACAGAGCTCGCGGTGAGAAAGAGACCAACTCCGGGGGACCCCCTGAAGAAAGCCGACGCAAGGCCAAACCCGCCCGAAGCAATATTCAGACTCGACGCAGTCATAGTATTGCGCCTCAGATCCGCGTTCCTCTCGTCCGCCTCGTCTTGAATGGCCTGGACCGCGCCGTTGCTGACCTGCTCAGTCAGCTGTGCGATGGAACTCTGCGTCTTGAAGTGCGTCAGCACGCTGCTGAGGAAGTCGTCCATGTCGCCCGGTGTCACATCCGGTGGGCACCGAAGATACTGGTAGCATCTAAAAAGTTGACTCAAGCCCATCCGGGTCGATTCGACGGAGTCGTAATTGTCATCAAATTGCGGGTCCGGGATTGGAAATGGAAGCGGCGTCGGCTTTACGGTCGCGGCAAAGGCCGGCGCGAGGAGGAGGGCATCCGCAGATGAGAGCCGGCGTCCGTTCCCAGCATGCCCGACGCACCCAGCAATTCCATCTTGCGCCTCATCGGGGAGGCTCTGGAAGTGCGCTCGCGCCTCGCCCATCGTGTAGTTGCCGTCGCCGTCTGCGTCATTTGCGCGCCACGTCAGCAAAAGGTGGGCCTCGTATCCCGTGTAGTTGTTGCAGGGCAGCGACCTCCCGTATGCAAGCGCCTCGCCGAAGGAAACACGGCTGTCCCCATTGCGATCGATGTCCGGCTCAAACTGAGCGTCTGCACCAAGCAGTGGGGCAGACCTGAGGGTTGGCGGATCTGGGACCGGAGGCTCTCGTGCATCTGTCCGCGCAGGTGTGCTCGAAAAGGCGCTGACGTGCGCGACGAGGAGGGCGAGGGCGAACACGAGCAGGCGCCACATATAATATATCGACACACCGCCCACTGCGAGGCAAACGCCCGCCGAAGGCAAAGTCGCCCGCCCGCCTGCCAAGGCACCGCCCGCCCAAAGGCTTATACGAAACCAGCCCGAGTTTAGTAACCGGCGTAACTAAGGTAAGATACATGTAAACGTCTCCGCAACACAAAGTGGTGGGGCAAGGGGGGGGGGCGACCCTCGCATCTCCACGCCCGGGACACGGGCAGAAACCCACACAGTAACCCGCGGTGGCATATACACCTTTCCTCGCCCACCCAAGGTGCAAGGAGCCCGTTCTTGAAACTTTGGCGTTTGTGGAGAGGATGGGCGGCAGGATACCCCCCGCCCGCCGCCCCGTCGCCGTCCCCCGCCCGCGCCCCCCCCCGGCCCGGGCGCCTCGGCCCGGCCTCGCGTGCGGGTCGCGGTCGTGCGCGGTGGGGGCTGGCGCTGGGGGCGCACCCCGCGCGCCCCGGCGCGCGCGCTCACATCAACGCACACAAGCCACACTCCAAGCACAACGGTGAACCCGGTGTGCGTGTGCGTTTCGTGCGCGCACACACACATCAACACAAAACGTAGATACAGTAAACGGAGCGATACGCGGACGCACGCACATGATCTCTGTGCGGCGGCACACGTCGTCTGCAGGTCCCCTCCAATCACACCGGGGCCGGCCGGGCCGCCGTAACAGACCCACCACACACAAACAGCCGGGCGGGAAGCGTGCGCCGCGTCGCCAGCAGCGTGGCTGCGGCGCCAGCGCGCGCGGCATTTGCGGCAGCGGCGCGCGGGTTTTGCGGGGGCGAGAGAGCGCGAGGGTGGCTGCCCTCGGCCCTCGCCCCTCACGGCCGCTCGCCGACAGGAGTAGTGATATGGAACCCAGCTAAGCTTATGTTGGGCTGCTCAGTAGGCGGCTGCCACTACTTGCTCTTGCCCGTCGGCACGCGCCGCTTGAGCTTGGTCTGCAGCAGCTCGCCCTCGGCGCGGCACCGCTCGAGCTGCATGCGCAGGTCGAGGCACTCCTGCCTCTCGCGGTCGAGGGAGAGCTTGCCGAGTCCCGCCTGGGCAAGGAGGGCGACTCAGCGGGCGAGTATGCTGCACTCCCTGTGGTGTGAACAGCGTCTCTTCACGCCTCTAGCCGTGAACAGGTGCCGGGCGAGTATGCTGGCAGTGGGTGCGGAGGGGGTGGGCTGGTGGGAGGGAAGAGAGGGGAAGAGAATGTGCCCACGGCTGGCGGCGGGCGAGAGGGTGCTCCGTGTGAGGTGTGTCGCTGACTCGCTCCACGACGTACTGCGGTGGGGAGATGTGTGTATGCGGTGTGTATGCGGCGACTGTCACGACGACTGTCACGACGACAAACATGCAAGCCCCACCCCTGGCCACTGTTGTGAAGCCTGACTGTCACTGTGCGATGTCGGGGCCCGGGGTTGCGCGTCTCTGTGAAGTTGTGTGTCTCGCGCCTGCTTGAGGACGCCAACCTCCTGCTCCGCCTACGCGGAGAGGGGCGAGGCCCGGGCTCAGAACCTGGCTCTCGCCTGGTGGAGGAGTGGCAGCCTCCTGCTCCGCCTCGGCGCGCAGGTCCGCCTCGTGCGCAGCCAGCCGGTCACCCTCCCTCTCCTCCGCCTCGCACTGCTTCTTCAGCTCCAGCTCGCGCACGTACATCTCCTCCGACTTGCGCTTGGCAACCTGGGTTAGGGTTAGGGTTAGGGTCAGGGTCAGGGTTATCTGCACCCCCCCCCCCCCACCGACCACAGACACGCACCCACCCACAACGCTTCCCCCCACCGTCTCCCCTCCCCTCCCCTGGCCAAGCCCCTTGCCCACGGCAGCGCGCGCCTCAGCCTTCTGCCGCGCCGCGCTCGCCGCCTCGAGCTCCTGCTGGGCGGCAGCCATGCGCGCGTCGGCCGACGCCTTCGCAGCGCGCGCCTTGTCGATTCGCCCCTCGAACACGATCGTGACCAGCGCGCGGAACGAGAAGGTGAGCTTGCGGTGCCGCCAGTGCAGTAGCGACTTGCGCAGCTTGAAGCGCGCCATCAGCTCCTTCAGCTCCTTCTCGGCGCGCTCCTTCTCGGCCTCGACCTCGCGGTGCGTCTTCTGCACCTCCGACAGCTCCTTGTCCACAGTCGCGAGCGCCGCCTCCGCGTCCGCGCGCCGGTGCACTGCCGCATCGATGTCCGCCTCGGCGGCCTGCTGGCGCTGCGCCTCGCTCATGGCCGCCGCCTCCGCGTCGGTGACGCACAGCCTGCTCGTGCGGACCGCCTGCATCCACTCCACCATCTCCTTCTCCGTCTCCGCCGCGAGCACCACCGACTCGCCGCCCGAGTGCGAGAGCACAAACGTAAAGGGCCGGCCGTAGTAGCCGCCCTCGCCCGACTCGCGCACGTTCGCCTCCTCGAGGAGCACGACGCCGGAGGGCTTGTCGCGGAAGCCGGTGAAATCTTTGGGCGAGTTGAAGTACATCAGGATGTTGTCCCGCAGCACAAACCTGCGCAAGGTCCGCAGGGTGCATCAGATTCACTGGCTCGGGGCGCGGGGAGAGACGCGCGCGGGCGCGCCAGCGGCGGTTCCATTTGTGGCCCTTTTCTTGGCCCCCGCCGAGCTTGGAGAGAAAGCCCTGCCGCGTCTGCAGCAGGCTCTCGACATCCCCGTCCGCGTCGCCGGGCATGGAGCACAAAGGGGGCGCTCTATAACGCGGTTTATAGCACAGGTCGGGAAAGAATTTCAGTACCGCGCTGGGTGTGGTGGCGGCTCCCTTCTGACTGCGAAAAGAGATAGGAAGAGGCAGACTCCCTAGGGTGGGCGACGGCTAGCGCATCACACTCCTCTCCTTAAAATCCCTGTGTGGTGGCGGCGTGCCGTCCTCCCATCCCTCCCTGACCGCCAGACACCTACCTGCGACGTCTCCCCACGCCACCTCCGCTGCGGCTCAGGGCGCGCTGGCACGCCGAAGTCAACCTGAAGCGGCCAAGGCTAGCCCTACCATACCCCAAGCAGGTCTTCCAAGAGGCGGGGGGGTATGGTCTCGAGGTCGGTTGCCTTGAAACATACCACACCCCCGGAAAAGGTTGGAACCCAGGCTGTCCAAGCTGTCGTCTTCCGACACGGCTATTTGCGCCAGCGCCCTTCTTCCTCGATCTCCCCCTCGAATCGCCACAAATGACCGCCTTGCCAACCCCCGAGCGAATCATGGAGCTCGCTCTCACAACAACTCCGTCTGAGGCGTCGGTCGCGACTCCGTCGCCCGCCGCCCGAAAGAAGTGCGATGTCCTGCTTCTCATCAGCTCCGCCGCCGCCGCTGGCTACGAGCGCCGCCGCCGCGCGGTTCGCAGGACCTACCTGACGGCCTTGCGTGAGCAGCAGCTGCAGGGCACGGTCGAGTATCGCTTCCTCCTCGGCGAGCCGCCGACAGCGGAAGAGGGCGCGGCGCTCGACGCCGAGCAGGCCGAGTTTGGCGACCTGCTGCGCGTCTGCGTGCCGGAGAGCTACGAGACCATCTTTGCGAAGGTGGTCGCCGCGTGGCGCTGGGCCGTCGCCACGCACGACTTCGCCTTTTGGATGCACGCCGACGACGATTCGTACGTCCGGCTCGACTTGCTGCTCGGCTGGGTCCGCTCGCCGGCCGCCTCGCCGCAGGAGGGCGTGTACGCGGGGTACCTGTGGGACGGCTCCGACGGGCGGCGCACCAAGCCGCTCCGCGACCCCGCCCAAAAGTCGTACATGCCGGTGGAGCAGTGGCCGCACGACTCGTACCCGCCCTTTGCGTCGGGCTGCGGCCATCTGATCGCGTGCGACCTGGTGGGCAAGCTGGTCGAGCTGTCGCCCTCGATGAGCTTCTTCCGCGGCGGCGTGTTCGACGTCGCCATCGGCACCCGCCCCGCCCGCCCCGCCCGCCTGTTCCTCCACCAACTGCACCGCCCTTTCCGCCCGGCAAAGCCCCAACGCCGCCGCCGTATGTTGTCCCCGCGCATCGTAGGGATCTACCTCGCCCGCCTCGCCGCCAGCGGCGCGGTTGCCAACCTCCGGCTGGTGCACATCGAGGGCGTGCGGCCGTACCGGCCGCTGCCGCTCTTCCGCAGAGAGACGCTCGTGCAGCACTACATGCAGCCGGAGGAGTTCAGGCAGTTCCACGAGCGCGCCGTCGCGGCCGCGGCAGAGGCGGACGGCGGAGCGGGACCGGGAGGCGGAGCTGCGGCGCCGGAGAGTGAGCAGCGGATTGCGGCGGTCTACGACCTGTTTGTCCAGGCAAAGGTGCTGCGCCGATGAGGGGCTGCGAGGGCGCACAGATGGTGCGGAGCTTTCCGGCCTCGAGTGAGAAAACGGCTCGTAACGCCGTACGGTACGTATGGACTTTGAGGGTGTTGACGGCGCGTATCTCTCGACGGTGTGTGAGCTGTGAGAGAGTGGAGAGCCGAGTGTAGCCGTATGTCATATACTGTTGCACATATACACAACGCTGCACAGAATCTCAGTTATCACCCGGGGGGGCCTGGACCGGCCTGACCGTGACGCGGCGTTCCCGCTAGCGAGTCGACCTTGCTCGAGAGGAGCTCCACGCGCAGCGAGAGTGCCTCCTGCGCCTCCATCACACACCGCACGCCGTCGCCGGCCGCGCGCCGCGCGGATGCCAGCGCGGCCGCAGCCTCCTCGGCCTCGTTCGAGGCGAGGGTAGCCGCCTAAGGCGCCACAAGCCGGGGGAGAAGTGGACAGTGGAGCGGGTGGAGGGGTGGCACTCACCACGAGGGGGCGGCCACCTGACGCGCATTGAGCTGGTCGGCCAGTTTCGGCTAGTCTCGGCCAGTCTCGGCCAGTCTCGGCTACTCTCGGCTACTCTCGCCTGGCGCGCAGTGAGCACCGCCTCGTCTGCGACCCGCTCGGCGCTGGCGGCTCTCTCCTCGGCGGCGCGCGCCGTCTCCGCCGTCTCCACTGCCACCGAGACGGCCGCCGCCGCCGCCGCCGCCTGTGCCTGCTCTCGGAGGGAGGCCTCCTCCTGCAGCGCACTCCACAGTCGCCTGTGCTCCGCCGTCACCGCCGCCACCGCCGCCACCTGGTGTGAAGCCTGTAGTGAAGGAGCAGCGGCATGCTGGCGCCGCCTCGCCTCCGCCTCCGCCTCGCTCGCCTCCGCCCTTGCTTCCGCCTGCCTCATCGCCACCTTCTGCACAAGCTCTTCCTGATCCGCCGCGCCGCTGCACTCGAGCCGCGTCAGCCGCGCGCTCACCGCCGCCAGCTGCGCCTGCAATGCAGTTGCCGCCTGCTCCGCCGCTGCGGACGGCGAGGAGGGCCTGATGCCAGCGGCGGATGCAGCCTCCAGGGCTTGGACCCGAGCCGTGAGCGCCGTCACTCTCGCCGAGTCGCTCGCGTCATCGATGAGCGCACGAAGGATCGCTACCGCCTCGCGGCTCGCTGCGCGCTCGTCACGCCACTGGGCTCGCATCATCTGAATCTCGCCACGCATTGACTCGTGCGCCTCGACGAGGCCCGCAACGGACTCGGAAAACACCTGCGGCAACTCCGCCACTGCCGCCGCCAGCGCTCCGAGCCGGCAGCTCAGCTGGTTGAGGAGTGCCCGCTGGTCGGCAACGTCCGCCGTCTCGTGCTCAGCCCACGCGTTTAGTTCGTGCACAGCTTCCCCAAGCCGCTTCAGCTCGGCACGAAAGGGCTGCTGCGCCTCGTGGTTGGCGCGAGCCCATGTGGGCGATGGCGACGGCGGCGGTTGGTGGCGGCGTCGCGCCGGGGCAGTCATAAGATCAGCCGAACTGGTGGCGAGGCGGCCGACGATGGCGAGAGGGTCCGAGGAGGCGTAGTTGAGGAGGAGGTTCTGCAGCCGAACTGGGTGAGAAAAATAAAAGTGGGAAGAGAAGAAGCAAGAAAATTTTCTTTCTTTCTTTCTGGGCACGGGACTCTCCCCAGAAAAATAAAATAAAAGGCAAGCAGGGCCCGGCAGTCATAAGATCACCGAACTGGTTAGAAAAAAGAAAACAATCAATCTCTGCGATAAACGGTGCCACTCTAACTCACTGCCCCAGGACACACACTTTAGCGGGTCCACCCCTCTAGGGTTCTGAGGGCCGGATTTTTCAAGAGCTTTTAAGAAATGAGGAGGCTTGGGGGCTTAGATTGCCATTTAAGAAATGAGGAGGCACGGGGGTCCCTCTTTTAAGACCGTTTAAGAATTCTTAAGACCGTTTAAGACCGTTTAAGAAAATCGGCCTCGGCCCTCGCCGGCATGCGTCGCTGGGTTCCGCGCCGTTTTCTCCCATACTGCCGTTATTAGGCACAAACCCGCCTCTGAAGACACATCTGTAAGTCTGGTGCACTGGCAGGAGCCATACTCGCATACGGGGCGCGTGCTGACTGTAGCCGGCTTCCCAGCCTCCGGCGTCTACCGGGAGCCTCCCGGACCATCGTGCATCGACCTCGGGAGCTCTCCCGAGGACCGTTTAAGCGTTTAAGACCGTTTAAGGAATCGGCGGCCCAGGCAGCCTAGCTTAAAATGGGCCATGGCCCGCTTTAATTAAGCCGTTTAAGCCGCAGGCGCCCCAGGGCCCACCCTTTTGAGCCTAGGGGTACCCTAAGCCGGGACACGCGGGTCCGCACAAGGCGCCTCATATTTCAAAAGATCCTAAGATCGTGCAGGGCGGGGACACATGTCCCTAAATCCCATCTCGTCTCAGAGTTTGACCGTTTTATTTATTTGTTTGTTTACAGGCGCCTCACACATGGCTCAAGCGGGGGGGGCCCTCTCAAGCGCACTACGTTATCTCCCCGGAGGGTCCCCGCCCGAGCGGCGCGCGCTCGCCCTCCACGCTCTCGCCACACCATGGCCACACAAGCACATCTCGCTGTACTCTCCGCCTCTCGGTCTCTTTTTTTGATTTCGTTTTTTGCATATACGGCTCTAAACACGCTTTTTGCGCGCGCGCGGTACGACCCTTCAACGAAAGAGTGGGAGGAGGAGGCTGTGGCGCCGATGCTAACGGCACGAGGGTACGTCAGCACGGCGGTGCTCGATGGCAAGCTCTACGCGGCGGGCGGCCAGGATGATGAGGCCGACCGCGCAACTTCCAACCTTTTGGAGCGGTACGACTTGGCTGCGAAAGCATGGGAGTTTGTGGCGCCGATGGCAACGCCACGCGAGTCTCACACCGAAAGTAGCCGCTGAGAACGGCGCCGACGCCGGCCCCGCCGCCGCCGCCGATGCCGCCGATGCCGTCGGCGCCGTTGGCGCCGTTGGTGTCGTTGGAGTCGTTGGTGTCGCTCGTGCCGCCGGCCTGGAAGCGGACGTCGATTCCCTCGCAGACGGCGGCGGGCATGTGCTGGGTCAGGTCCGGGAGCTGCAAATCGGGCAGCAGGCCAGCGGCGGCGAGCGGACGGCCTGCAAAGGGGTAGGGGTAGGGGTCGGGGTAGGGGTAGGGGTTGGGGTTGGGTTGGCGCGCCCCCGCTCTTTTCACTTTTGTGATTCTCGTCGCGGGTCGTTTCGGCCGAGGGCCGTGTGCCCGTGTCGCGTGAGGACGCGTGCGTGTGCTTTATCGCACAGCCGGCACAGTGCACAGACGCGATAAAAATTCTCTCGTCTCAGAGAGTTTGACCGTTTACATGTATTGTCGGGACGTTACCGCGCGCACACACGCGCACGCACGCACGCCCCGGTGCACCGCACCGTCACTCTCATCGCTCGGGCCTGAGGATGCCCACGCCGCCTGTGTCGACCCCCTCGCCAAACGTCTCCGAGCCGTGCACCGTGTATGTGTCGAACCTCTTCGTCGGGTCGTACACCTCGAAGCGCGAGTACGGGAACTTCTCCTTATTCCGCTCGTACAGCCGCTTCTCCATCACCTTGCCCGCGTGGCTCTCGTCCTTCTCCACCCGCGAGTCCACAGGCCCCAGCCGCACGTCGTCGTGCACGTCGAACTGGAAGAGAGGCCCCGACTTGCCTCGCGCCTACGGGACGTGTCGCGGAGAGGACGACTTGTCGCGGACACGACGCGGCTGGCGGGTCCCGACTCTCTGCCGCAGGCGTGCCTTGTTGACGATAAGGTCGTAGAACGAGGTCGAGTGGGGCAGGATCAGGTCCTCCTTGACGTACATCAGGTCGCCCGGGGAGCAGTTGCGCAGCTCCTTGACCTGCTCGCGGCACTTGTTGAGGAAGGTCTCGATCGTCCAGCCCTTCTTCACCTTGGTCTCGTACCGGTGGCCGCGCCCGTCCCAAAAGGAGTATGTGACGCCAATCTCCTCCGCCTTCACCCGGTCCTGCTCCGCCTGCCACTCCGCCGCCAGCGCCGCCTTCTTGGCCTCCGCCGCCGCCTCGCGCTCCCGGTCCGGGAGGAAGCCGGTGTCGACCGAAGGGTTCTTCCCCAGCTTTGGGCGCTTGACCACCTCCTCCTCCCCCTCCTCCCCCTCGTCTTCGGCAAAAGAGAGCGTGCTCGCCGCCGCCCCCTTCTTCTTCTTCGACTTCTTCTTCTTCTTCTCATCGGCCGGCTCCGCCGCTTTCTCCAGCTCCTCCCGCCTGCGCGTAAATTCTGCCTTGCTCACAAGCCCGACCGTCGCCGAGGAGAGGGCCGCATTAACGTCGGCGGTGCCAGACGCGAACGAGGGTGGCACGCCTGGGCCACCGCTTGGGCCAGCCGAGTCTGCCATTCCTCGTCACTGCGGCGAAGGCGGAGAAGGAGGCGCAGAAGGCGGCGGCGCGGGCGGAGCCGGGCGGCGAGGGAGCAGACTATCCAGCGGGGGCCCTAGAAAGAATTCTAGCTCGGACACCACCGGAGCCGCCTAAGCGACTCCGTTAAGAACGGCAATGCACTTAGCACCGTGAGAAAGAAGAATTTAGTCAAAACAACTCTCTCTCACAGCAGAAAGGCTCGACACAGGTGCGAACTGGCGCGTGCTAGTACTATCGCAGGCACACCAGAGAAAGAAGAATCAACCTCGCCAGGCGGGACCCTGTCCCTCGTTTGGCGTGTTCGTTTTATTTATTTATTTATTGGGGACACTAACACACTATAGATGGATAGTGCCCGAGAGCGAGGGGCCCGGAGGGGAGCACAAATAGGACGCCCAGCCTTGTGCCCTCGTGCCGCCGAGTGCGTATCCTATGCGAGAGAGATCCCCTGTGCCCTCCCCTTGCCCAGCCCTCAAACAAATGACCAGCCCTCTCCGCGCCGCGATGCCCCCCCAGATGTAGAGCGCTGTAGAGGCCTCTACACAGCGTGAAATGTCAGGAGCAAACTCTACCTCAAAAGCGGCGAGCGACCGAGGCGCGTTGCGCTTTCCAATGCTGCCCTGGCCTTCCTTCTCGTTGCCCGCCCAATGAATGGGTGGCAGGTGCCTCTGCTGCTGTGGAGTGGGAGTGGGATGCCTCACGGCTGCGACTGGCCGGCGCCGGCGCGTCAGCTCGGCTCGGCGAAGCAGGAATTATGGGATTTCTTCTCCGCATGTACCTAGCCCGGATTTGCAATAAGGGCCGGGATTGTGGGAGAATTGATCCCTGCCGAGAAACTTGGCACCAAAACGTCCAACTCCAAGCTTCGCCTGGCACATGGGCCAGCTAGCCTCGAATCTGAGCGCGACCATCTACGAGCACCTCGCGCCACGCCCCCCTTCCCCGGGCGTCGTCCGTTATCACTCTGTCTGGGTCGACGACGAGGGCGCCACGCACATTGAGCGGGAGCTGCAGTTTTCGCGACTGGAGGAGGCCGATTACTCTGCCTCTGGTACGCTCCAGCACGTGCGCAAGTTCACGAATCAGGACTTTGAGGTGACCGACATCGTGGTCACGCAGCAGATTGGCACCGACCAGTGGAACCACAGCCCCGCGCCGCGGTTTGTGGTCACTCTCGAGGGCTCGTGGTTCATTCGGACGAGCGACGGAGCACAGGTCGTGATGCGCCCCGGCGACGTCCTCTACCAGGACAACACGAGCACCCACCCCGGCGCCCTTGACGGCACGCGCAACGCCAAGCACTACAGCGGGGCCATCGGCGGCCCGTGCAACCAGCTCATCATTCAGCTGGAGACGCCACTGCGCACAAACAAGCCGGGAAGGTGGTCGGACGGGTGAGGCCGACCCGCTCTACCAGATGCGCAGGGCCAGTCGCACCGCTCCATCGTGCTGTAATTTATCACTCAGTGGAGCCGGTGCGAATTCCCTGCGCCCGTGCCAACAGCGCCACCGCCAGCCGCCACCGCTGTTGGTCTGCAACGAGACATCCGCGCCGCGCCGAAGAAGCGCCTCGGCCAGTTCCGCGTGGCCATTGCCCATTGCGATAATCAGCAGCGTCATGCCGCTCACGCGAGTGCCGCAAGCAAAGGTGTACTCGAACCTCGCATCGACCCGCCCGCCGCTGTCGAGCCACACCAGCACCGTCGCCTCTTCGCCTCGCTCAGCCGCTTGCACGACCTCCTTTGGCACCGCCTCGCTGCCCGGTGCGGCCTCCGCACCGCCCTCGCCGCTCGAGGCAGAGGCCCTGGCACTGGCGCCCGCCGCCGCCTCGCCTGCGGGTGCGCCGCCCGCCCCTGCGCCACCCGCCTCGGCCGACGGCGCCTTGCTCCGAGCTGCCGCCACCTCCCCGAGATGCGTTCTGAAAGCCTCGACGCACTCGGCGTGGCACTTCTCCTTGGCGTACTGCAGCGCCGTCTTGCCCGCCTCAGTGCGCAGCTTTATGTCTGCGCCCGCCCGCAACAAGCGGAGCACCACGGCGGGATGGTTGTGGAAAGCGGCGAACATCAGCGCGGTGTCGCCCTGGTTGGCCTGCAGGTTGATCTCCGCGCCGCCGGATCAGCGTGTCGACAATCCGCTCGTGGCCTTGGTAGACGGTGGCCATCAGCGCAGTGCCGCCGTCGCTGTTCTTCTGGTCGATCTCCGCGCCGTGCCGCAATGCCAGCTCGACCAGCTTCTCGTGGCCGTTCCCGGCGGCGAGAGTCAGCGCGGTGCCACCGTTGCTGGTCTGCAATGAGACATCCGCGACGCGCCGCAGAAGCGCCTCGGCCAGCTCCGCGTGGCCATTGGCCATCGCGATCATCAGCAGCGTCATGCCGCTCACACGAGTGCCGCAACCAAAGGCGTACTCGAACGTCTCGTCCACCCGCCCGCCGCCGTCGAACCACGATAGCACCGCTCCCACTTGGCCATCCTCGGCGGCCTTCTGAATGCTCGCAGGGACGTCGACGCCGCCCTCCTCGAACGGCGAAGGCGGCTTGCCCGGCGCGGTGGACATTGGTCAGGGTTCGGGCCCAATGAAGCTACGTTCTCTTATGAGACCGGCGGGCGACACGAATGGGGAAGCTGGTCATTTCAGGCGAAAGAGAAAAAGAGAAAAAGAATTTAAACAAAAGAACTCTCTCTCACAGCAGACAGGCTCGACACAGGTGCGAACTGGCGCGTGCGAGAAAAAGAATGTCCCGAAAAGAATCGCGGTTGGGGGCACCATCTTCTTAAATGCAAGCCCCGTTCTGGCCATTGTTGCTCTCTGTGTATGACGACCGCCCGCCTGCTGCGCTCGTGCGTTGAGACCCTCGGAAGGTTCGTGCTCTGGCCAGCCTTCCATTCGATTCTGCTTCCAGTCTACGTTCTCGTTCTCTCGCCATTCATCGCGCTCGGCCTCTGCAGCTCCGACGCTGCTGTCGGCGTGCCTCCCGCCTTCCTCGCCTGGCGGCTGGCGTCGCCTCCCATACCTGATTCTGATGGTGCTCTTCGTCGACCTGCCAATCGCCATCTTAACGTTTATACCGAATACCGACATTTCTGATAGAGAAAGGTTCTGTTCCTCCGGAATCCCCTCAGACTCGGCTCAGAGCTCGCGAGAGAGCCAAAAGGGGCGAGAGATGAGGTACCTCCGGGTCGATCGCGTCGTCGCCAGCCGTGTGACGGACAATCTTGACCGCCACTTCGAGCCCGTCAAGGCGGCTGATCGCGTGAAAGACAGGGCCGTTGCGGCCAATTCCAAGCGTTCGGCCGGAGAGGACGTAAGGCCCGACTCTCCGAAGCCGCGGCTTCTTACGGCCCGCCGCGCTGGCCCGGCCCGCCTCGTGTGTCGTCGCGGCACTCGCTGTGTCGCTCGAGGTCGCCATCAAAACGGCGGTCGCCAGCCGGCTTTCGTGTCCTTGACGTGATCACCAAGTCCATGAACGACCTGGTCGCGCCACGGCGTCTGTGTAATCACTCGAGATTTCTGTCTTTTTTCCGTCCTTCCTCTTCTGAGATGACTCGAGGTTCTCGAGGTGGATATCCTTTGGCCGCGTTGGGTAGCCCTGGGAGGGGCGGGGCAAGCAATATTGGCTGAGTGCCAGCGCGACCAATTACTGCGATCAATCGGCAGGCGGCGGTGGCGGGCGCCAGTGCATGTTGCCCCAGTCAAAGACCGTCTCCGACAAGAAGGACGGCGATGCGGCCCTCTTCTTGAGCATCTCAGACGCGTACGAGGAGCTGTCCAGCAAGTCGAGCGGCGAGAGCCCCTCTATCCCCAACATGAGCGAGGAGCTGTGGACGGATCGGTCCGACTCGCCGCTCTGCAAGGCCTGCCTCAACGGCGACCGCGTCGAGGTGAATCGGCTGCTCGCCGAGGCGCGCTCGGACCCCTTCCAGCAGGACATCGTCAACAGGCCGGGCCGGTCTGGACTGACGCCGCTCAAGTACGCCTGCGTCAACGGGCACGACGCGATTGTCGAGAAACTGCTCGAGTCCCGCTGCAGCGTGGACAGCACGAGCCGGGCGGGCGTGACGGCGCTGATGGAGGCGCGTGCGGATCATGGGGTGGGAGAATCCTATCGATTAGCCCTGAGCCTAATCTCTCTGTGGAGGCGTGCATCATGGGGAAGGAGTCGTGCGCCCGGCTGCTCCTCGACGCGGGCGCAGAGGTCGATAAGCCGAACATGACGGGGCAAGCGACCTCCAGCCCTCGCAGTCTCTGCGGGCCCGGCCCCGAGGCTCGGAGGTCTCCTCACACGTAGGCAGACCGCGCTTTCCTTCGCATGCATGGCGAGGAGCGGCAGCGAGGCGCGGTGCCGCCTTGGCCGCGCCGGTCCATGACCAAACCGCTCATCACAACATGGCCGCCGGCGCTGCTCAGGCGTGCTGCCGGCTGTTGGTCTCGCGCGGCGCCGTGTCCTCTCGTGCGGAGCGGGGTACAGGGTTGAAGTCTCGCTTAGTGAATGGACGGCCCCTCTAGGCGCCGGCCGCTCGCACGCGGACGCGGAGGGGCGGATCCAGTCGAGTAAACCATGAATGATCACGATAGGCGCCGACCGCTCTCGCCCCGACGGCGAGGGGAGGACGGCGGCACACTTCGCGCGCAAGGTCAAGAACGAGGCGGTGGCGGCGTGGCTGGAGAAGGGCATCGACACGCGGCGAAGCACGCCGGACTCCAGTCCGCTGTTCAGCTGGTTATGGATTGCGGATGATAGGCGACGACGCTCTCACGCACGTGCGGGGCCGCGAGGGCGAGGGGCAGGGCGGCGAGGCGGCGGGTGGAGAGGGGAAGGGCGGCGCGGCGGCGGGTGGCGGGGCGGTGGGCGGTGCAGGGGAGCAGGGCTGCGAGGGGTGCGGCTCGCGCGACCCGAGCTTGTCTGGAGGAAGAGGCGCCTTGTCCTAGTCCGGCTGTGATGAAGCAGCGCTAATAGTGAATTGATTGAGTGCAATCACAGGCGCCTTGTCCACGAGGGCGGCCGAGTCGCGCAGCAGCGCGCCGGCGTCGAGCCGCGCCGCCCACGTGCCGAGCGCGGCGTCGAAGGGCGCCGCGTGCGGCGAGAAGCCGAAGGAGGTGTTTCTCCAGTGCGTGTGCGCGAGGTCGGTCGAGACGAGGAGGGCGACCTGTGCTCACAGATGGACGGGTTCCGAGAAGGTTCCGAGAAGGCTCAAGGAAGGGTCTCGCTCGCGACGAGGCGGGAGAGGTCGCCCGCTTGCTGGACGCCTCGAGAAGGCGGCCGAGGTCGCGGCCGAGCTGGAGGAAGCCGGTCGCGACGGCAGACGAGAGGTTGTACCGCGACAGCGGGAGGCCGAGCGTGACGAGAGGCGGCAAGCGGTGGGCAGCGGAGGCGTTTGCCACGTAGCTGAGGGCGAGCACCTCGCCCCAGTGGAGCGGCATGGGCAGGACTCCGTTCCAGCCACGCTGCAGAGTCACGTTGTGCCTCGCGGAGAGGACGTCCATGATCTGCTGTGCCCGGCGTCCGTTTGGCCATCGAGCGAGACCGGGTAAAGCTTGCGAGGGCTGGCGGGGCCAAACGACTCCTGGAGGCCTCGGCCCACGGTCGCGACGCCCTGTAGCGCCGCGTTCTGATAGATTCCGACGTCCCAGCTTGTCTGAAGCCCGTGAGGTGTAGTGAGCACGATCGCATCGGGCGCAGCGTCGGCCAGCAGCCGGCCGGCGAGCAGCGAGCCTCGGTGAAGGCCGTCGGCGGCGGCAGAGAGGTGGGGTTGCGGGAGAGGAGCGACGGATCAAAGGCGAAATCGCCGTGAGGCGCAGGACCGCCGCAGCGACAAGAGGCATGACGAAGCAGGTGGCGGCGAAGCGGCGACGGTTGAGCGCGGCCACACACAACAGTCGGAGGCCAGACGTGAGCGCAAGCAGACCTGACTAAAAGAGTTGGCGAAGCGGCGACGGTTGAGCGCGGCCAACAACAGTCGGAGGCCAGGGCGTGAGCGCCAGCGGCCGGCCAAATGTTTTTCTTGCTGAAAAAGAATTCACGCCGGCTCTCTCACCGACACAGGTTCGACACAGGTACCAAGAGGAGCACAGCAGACGGCAACTCCTCAAAAAGCATTCATCGCTTATTTCATTCCGCTTCGCCGGCTCCTACTGCATGTCACCGCCCTCTCCGCCATCTGTCGTGCGGCCCGAAAAGCCGCCGCCATCCTTCAAGTACGTGCAGCGCCTGCGCGAGATGCGGGTCGGCGGCGGCGACAAAAATGGCGACTCCAGATGTGCCGCTGCCTACCTGCAGCCGCCTGTGATTGTTGAGGCGGGCGGCGAGCACCACTACTCTATCATCCTCCTTCACGGGCTCGGCAACCGTGGCTCCGATTTTCTGCCGATCCTCCACTCCTTCTCGCGGCTCGGGATCGACGTCTCCAACGTCCGCTTTGTCTTTCCGAATGCACCGCGCCGGACAATGCAGTGGCCAGTCTGGGGACCCTCCCGTGGCGTCCAGGCGTGGTACACTTACTTCAGCGATGAGTCCGGCAAGAGCTCGGCCGACGCCGACGAGATTGCGACCTCCGAGCTCAACGCGAGTGCTGCCGCGCTGCTCGCCCTCGCAGAGGCTGAGGCGAGGTTAGCCGAGATTCGGCGGGATTCGCCTCCCAGTTGGATTGTTCGCTGAGATTAGCGGAGATCACGCGGCGGCCACGATGACCACTCTCGAGACGCCCAGCCGCTGCGAACACAGGCCGCCGCTCTCGGCGGCGACTTTGGCAGAGTCTTTGTGGGCGGGTACTCCCAAGGGGGCACCGTTGCGGCGCACGCGGCTGTTAGCGACGGCGCGCCGCGGCTGGCCGGGGCGCTGCTTACTCGCTCGGTGCTGATGGCCCAGACGTCCCTCTCTCCTTCCTCCGGCGAGGCGGAGGAGGGCGAGCCGCACTTGTGTTGCGAGGAGTGAGCGTCGTCGCTTCACCCTTCCTGCTGTGTCTGACAGGAGCCGGAGGGACGCACGCCGTTCTTCGCCTTTCGTAGCGGGCGCGACAACACGTACCCCATCGGCGTGCAGCGCCACTCCCCTTCGCTGAGGTGTGATCGGCGCCTCTTCACGCCCTCATCCCCGTGCAGGCGTGCAGCGCCACTCTCAGGAGCGGCTGGTCGCGGGCGGGTGGCCGGTCGTTGTGGCCAGATTGCTCCGCGGTACGAGCGCCCCTCTACGCCTCGCACTTGTGTGAGCAGGTGGTCGCTCGCCGTGTCCGAGTCCTCTGTCAACCACGCCACGTGGTAGAGCTCGCCCGAGCTTGATTATGGCGCCACCGCCCGCGGGCATCTTCACAGCCGCAACCGCGTGAACAGGTCGTGGGGCGAGTACGATTATGTCGCCGCGAGCGCCGCCTTCGCGCTAGGCTTGCGCGCCGACCCTCCCCCCACGGGAATCGGGCCAGGGCGCAGCTGCTGGACTGCACCCTGCCTCGACCTGCACGGCGTCCTCGTCTCGCTCTGGTACCGCTTCCCCTACCAGTGCGTGGGGCTGTCCCCTTGCTGCCGCGGCGGCGACCAGGCGCCAGCGGCGTCGCGGTGAGTAATTAACCCTTTGAGGACACGTGTTTCACGCGTGGCACAGCGCATTTCAAGTCCCCAGTGAGCCCTGGTGGAGACGCGGACGAGCGATTCAGAGGTTGCATCCACTGAGAGAAGGGCTCTCCTTTCCCTACGTACGGCTTTGGGCTTTACAAGACGTACCTCGTACGAGGACGCTCAAACATATTCTGTAAATCTAAATCACAAAATAGGTAAATACTAAAAAGACTTGAGAGCTTACCAGGGTTGGACAAAAAGAATTCAACGAGGTCGTGGTCCAAAAAAGAAGGGACTATTCGTGTTCTCATGGCCTCCCTCGCTCGAACCCCATCCCGGTCAGGGTGGCCTGAGGCGCGGCGCTCAACCGTCGCCGCTTCGCCGCCTCCTGCTGCGCCCTGCTCTCCACTCCCTGCGTGCCTCGCCGCCGCGCGTCCTCGATCGGCCTCCTGGTCTCGCAGAGGCCGCAGACTGGCGCGAGTGGTGGGTTGAGGAGCGTGCACGCGGGGCACGCCCACGCCGCCTCTGCCTGCGCCGCTGCCGCCGACGGCGTGGCGGTGCCGTTCGACGCCGTCGCTGCCACTGCCGCTCCCTGCGGCGCTCCCGCCGCGAGCTGCGGCGGCCGCTGCTGCGGCTGCGGCACAGGGAGAGGCGGCGCGGCCTGCACGCCGGGTGCTGGAGCGGCAAAGGAGAGGAGGGAGCCCGCCCGCCGCATCAGCTCGTGCATGCTGCGGCCGGTGGCGAGGGTCGCGTCGCCGTGCACCATGTACTTGTAGTACGCCTGCTGCCCGCGCTCCGCGTCGGCCGTGCCGGGGAGGATGTACCGGAAGTTGATGTTGACCCTCGGCCGGCGCGAGGCCGCCTTTGGGACGCGGTGGTGCCAGTGCCTAAGGGGAGATATGGGGAGATGTGGGGAGATATGGGGAGATATGGGGGGACGCGGTGGTGCCAGTGCCTCTGCGTGGGGCTGTGCATGACGAGCAGGTCTCCGTCGGCGAGGAGGAGGTCGCGCTGCGGGGTGGACCGGTCCACTCCGTCGTCGCCGCCGCCGAGCGCCGGCCACACGTTGCGCATTCGCCGCAGCTGGAAGGAGGCGGTCGCGCCGAGCGAGAGGGAGCCGATCGTGGGCCGCTCGCCGAGGAAGGTGCGCCCGTCCGTGTGCCATGCGATCTCGTCCGCCCCGTCCATGTAGAGCCGGAGGAGGATCGCGTTGAACGGCACCCCCAGCGAGGCGCGCACCTGCTCGACGAGCGGCAGCAGCCAGTCGGGGATGGGAACGAACGGCTCGAACGCATCAAAGCCACCGAAGAAGGCGGTGTAGCATGGCGTCTCGCACTGCTTCTGGAAGCGTCCCGACAAGTACGTGACGCGGTGCCACAGCACCCTCTCGGCCAGCGTGCTCCACCAGGACCTGCGGCTCTCGGCGTCGAGGTAGCCGCGACAGAGCTTCACGTGCAAGCCCTTGGCGGCGTCCTCGATGCGCAGCCAGTCGCGTGGGGTCTGCGACGGCGCGGCTGCGGCGGCGGCGGCGGCAGCGGCAGCGGCGGTTTATTTGCATAGACAGATGTGTACGTATACTGTAGTTGCAGAGCGCCCCATACCGCCAGCTTGCCGCCACCCGGTCCCCTCGGCACGACTAACATGCTAACATCATCTATGCGATCACAGCCGTCATGGCACGTCGAGTACGGAGTAGTGGAGCCATTTCATACTGTATTAGTAGGCGCCCTGCGTGACGGCGCGGCAGCCGTTGTCGTCGGAGCAAGGGAAGATCACAAAGCCGCAAATAACCCCCTTCGGGCCTCCGCTGGCCGACTCGTCCACCTGGCGGCACTCGGTCGTCTTGTACGGCTTGAACGTGTCCTGCAGGAACTTGTCTCGCCTCAAGCGGAGTTTCTTGTACGCGCCCTCGTTGGAGAGGTACCAGCCCTGCAGCTCGTCTGGTGCCTCCGCCCACTGCCACCCGTCGAGCCTGCGCACCTCGGTGGCGATCGGCTTGACCAGGTCGCCAAACTGCTCCTTGCCCGTCCGGAAGAGGCCCGACTGCTGCAGCAGCGTCCGCCCACGCTCTGCGGCGCTCTGCTCCGCCACGTCGGAAGCCCATATCACCGCCGGGCCGGGAACACGGCCGTCCTTCGTCTCGCCAAACTGGCCCTCCTCGGCGGTGGCCGTCGGGTCGTGCTCCCGCCAAAACACGCCCAACAGCTTCTTGAACGGCAGCTTCTGCGGAACGTACTCGACCTTTAGCGCAGGGACCGCCTCGCCGTCGCGCGCCAGGCTCCCCGCGGTCGTCTTCACGACGCCCAGGTACTTGATGGCGTCGATTGCGGGCTGAAGCAGGCGTGTGTCGCCCGCGGACAGGTACGCAACCGCCAGAGGCGCGTCCTCGGCAGCGGCGGGACTGCTCCTGAGCATGGCGGCGGCGGCGAGGGCAGCGAGGTCGCGTCGTTCGAACTGAAACTGCCGCGAGAGCTGCTGCTTCGGTGGTGCCAGCGGCGGCGTAATGAGCGAGGCGAGCACTGCGAGCGGGGCGAGAACCGCCGCAGGCATCGTGGCGTTTCAGATCGCACACGCCTAGGCGCTGGGTTTGGACTCTCTGAGGGGTTGGACCATGGCACCCTGCTGACAGACCCACTCCCTTTGTTCTCTTCTCATAAAATCGGAGGGTCGGCCCACTCCCTTTGTTCTCTTCTCATAAAATCGGAGGGTCGGCCCACTCCCTTTGTTCTCTTCTCATAAAATCGGAGGGTCGGCCCACGGGGGGACTGACGACTGTGTGAACTGAAGCGACCCAACGATTTTATGAGTGGCAGCAAAGGGAGTGTGACAGACCCAGCCTCCCGGAGACCGGGGATGGGCGGTCAGGACCATACCCCCCCACCCTTTGGGCCGCGAGGGTACCATACCATACGCCTTTTTTCCTGGTCTCGCGGACGCGGCGCGCCCAGAGTTCGGTGCACGAAATGGAAAATTCTTTTGCTTTGCGGCCAAGGATGAGACAACAAAAGATCTTTCGCCTCACAGCTCCACACACACGCACACGCACATAGAACATTTTTGGACATGCGAAAGTACCGACCGAGACTACCGTACACGCCTCAATTCCTCAAACTAGCTATAGAGGGTACAGGACTCGCTCAGAGTGGCTCACCCGCCTGTTCTCGCTCGGCCGCCGTGGTGTATTCTTCCGGCGGCCAGCAGCGCAATCCCCTCTGAGGTGACCGTAAAGTTGCGCGGGCGCGCCGAGAAGCGCGGCGCGGCCCCGGCTCTGGCGGGCGCCATGAGCGGCTCTATGCCGATGGTGGTGGCGCCGCTGCCCTCCCAATTCTTCTTCCACTCCTGAAAGTGGAAGAAGGCCAGCTGCGCGCAGCCGTTGGGCAGCGTCGTGCCGGCCGCCGGCGCGACGCGCTGCCCGTAGAACCTGCCATCGGCGACGTCAAAGGTGGTCGTGGTGGCGCGGGCGGCCTCGTCGCCGTCTTCGAGCAGCTCCGGCGCACACATGCGAAACTCGACCGGCATCCACCGGCCACACCTGCGCAAAGGTTCCGACGAGGCTCAGGCAGGGCTCCGAGGAAGCCAGTCGTGCGTTCCGCCGACCGCACCCTTCGGCGTCCATCCGGAGAGGTCTCCGCTCGCCGACCGGCAAATGCGGCCCCGGCAAAGAGAGCTGGCAGCCGCCCGCGGAGGAGTGACGCGCCTAGCCGGGCAACCGCCGATGCCCCTGAGGGAGGGACCAACTCGCTGGCCGCCGCACGCAGAGGAGCGGCGCGCGAGCTCGTCAGGGTCGACGCGCGTCTCGGCGGCGCAGCGCCACACCGCGCCGTCCACCGCGTAGATGGCGGCCTCCGGCTCGCCGGACGCGGTCAGGCCGACCGCCTGCTTGTGCACCATAGCGATGCGCAAGTCGCCCCGCGAGACGGCCTGCTGACAGCTCGAGGCGGTGAGGAGACGCCGTCTCACATCCCGAGCTGTGAACAGACGCCGTCCACGCCCCGGGGCGGGAGAGACATGCCTGGTGCGAGTAGCTCCTCTCGGCTCCTCTCGGCTCCTCTCGGCTCCTCTCGGCGCCTCTCGGCGCCTCTCGGCTCCTCTCGGCTCCTCTCGGCTCCTCTCGGCTCCTCTCGGCTCCTCTCGGCTCCTCTCGGCTCCTCTCGGCTCCTCTCGGGCCTGGTGCGAGTAGCATCCCTCCGCGCTCTGGAAGCGCTTCGGGTAGTTTGCGATCCCCCGCGACTCCATGCGCCGGACCCACGCCACCTTGAGGAGCAGCTCCTTCTGCAGCTGGCCCGCGATGTGGTCGCACCGCTGCCACACGGAGCTCACTCGCGGCTCGTTCCGGTGTACCGTCCACTGGCCGCGCAAGTACAGCGCCTCCTGGTCGCCAAACGAGTAGGTGACGATGTCGTGCTGCTCGAGCTCCGCTCTCGACACGAAGAGCGGCAAGTTGCCGACCACCATGTCGAGGTCGCAGTACCTGCCCGCCAAGGAGCGTCGCATCAGAGCCGGCGCACGGCAGGCTCCCAACCGCGCATGTCGCGGTCGCGTACCCCCAGTGGCTGTAGCCGTTGAGGTACTTGCTGAAGACGGCGCCTGGGGGGAGGGGCCGAGAGGGCTCGCGGGGGGAGCTCCGAGGGGCATCGGCGGCGAGCTGCGCGAAGGAGTGCGCCGAAGGTCGGCTTGTACTCGGCGACCAGCCGCGGCCACTTGTCAAACATGAAGCGAAGCGCCTTGAGCGCGACGGTCGCGAGGTTGGGCGAGGTCGGCCGAGGTTGGGCGAGGTTGGGCGAGGTCGGGCGAGGTTGGGCGAGGTTGGGCGAGGTCGGGCGAGGTCGGGCGAGGTCGGGCGAGGTCGGGCGAGGTTGGGCGAGGCTAGCCTTGATCACGACTGTGGCGTTGCGGATTGGCAAGTTGAGCGCCTCCCCCAGCTGCATGCCGAGCAGCATCGAGAGGCCTCCCGGGCCCAAGTCGAACCACTTGACGTTGGGAGGCACGTCAGCCGGCACCGCCAGGTCCTGGGAAGGCGGGAGGGAGGTGGCAAGAGGGGGGAGGTGAGGGAGCGAGTGGAGGCAGAGGTCTGCAGAGGCGGCGGCGGCGGCGGCGGCGGCGGCGGCGGCGGCGGTGGCAGCGGTGGCGGCGCTGGCGGCGCTGACGGCGGCGGCGAACAGGCGGTGGCGGCGGCGGCGGCGGCGGCGGTGGTGGCGGTGGCGGCGGTGGGGGGGGGGCGGTGGTCGTGTTGCGGTGTGCACGGTCCTGTTCCTCGTGAAAGACGAGAAAGTCGGCGAGCGGAGAGGAGAGGCGCGCCTGAGGGCCAGGGTCGGGCCAGGGTCAGGGTCAGGGTCGGGCCAGGTAAGGGTCAGGGTCAGGGTCAGGGTCAGGGTCAGGGTCAGGGTCAGGGTCAGGGTCAGGGTCAGGGTCAGGGTCAGGGACAGGGACAGGGACAGGGACAGGGACAGGGACAGGGACAGGGTCAGGGTCAGGGTCAGGGTCAGGGTCAGGGTCAGGGTCAGGGTCAGGGTCAGGGTCAGGGTCAGGGACAGGGACAGGGACAGGGACAGGGACAGGGACAGGGACAGGGTCAGGGTCAGGGTCAGGGTCAGGGTCAGGGTCAGGGTCAGGGGGGTTAGGGTCAGGGGGTTGAGGGGGTCGGGATCAGGGTTGGGATGCGGGTTGGGATGCGGGTTGGGATGCGGGGTGGGATGCGGGTTGGGATGCGGGGTGGGATGCGGGTTGGGATGCGGGGTGGGATGCGGGTTGGGATGCGGGGTGGGATGCGGGTTGGGATGCGGGGTGGGATGCGGGGTGGGATGCGGGTCTCGTTCGACAAGGCTGGCGGCGACGGAGGCGAGGCACGCCGACGCTGCGAAGTACGGCGTCCAGGGTGGCAGTTCGCCCACCTAAGAGGCGAGGGAGGCGGGATTCGCGGCACCACCACGTCAAAACCTTCAACAGCGGCACGAGACCCAATCGTGTGTTCGTCGACGCACGGGAGGCGTGGCGCGCTCCAAGAGAGGGGCGGGAGGCGTGCGTGGGCGGCAGCTGCCGCCACACCCCGCGGCAGGAGCAGCGCGAACCACCTCTCGGCTACCTCTCGGCTAGACATGCTCTCGCCCACGGCAGCAGCAGCGCGAGCCGAAAGTCGGGGTGTCGCTCGCCGCAGGGCATGCCCCGCGGGACCCGCCCTGCCGCGCTGTGCGCGGGCAGCGAGCCGTGCTGCCCACCGCTGCCCGCGCTGTGCTCGTCGTGGAACACGCGCTGCGCCTAGGATGGGCTTGGGCTTTGGGCGTTGGGCGTTGGGTCTTCGGCTTTCGGGGAAGGGAGAGAGAGAGGGAAGGGATGGGCCCGCGCGCTTGCGCCTCCTTCTGCCGGTCGCGTATCTGCCTCAGCTCCTCCTCCGCCGCCGTCACGTCGTCCTCCTCGTCCGGCGGCGGCGGCGGCGGCGGCGGAGACGGCGGCGGCGGCGGCGACGGCCGCACTCTGCTGCTGAGCTTTTCCCACGGCGAGGCTCTGCCGTCTCTGGGGTTGAATCTGTCTCCGCGCGGCCGGGACGGGCGCGGGCGTGGCTTCTCGTCCGAGTAGATGAGGAGGGCGTCGTCGTTGACGAGGTCCTCCACCGACACGATGCTCTCGCCCGCCAGTGTCTCGATCTTTTGGATCGACCCGATCTGCAGCCGCTCCTGGATGCCAAACGTAAACATGTTCCAGTCGTCCGACGCGCGCAGGACAAAGCGAGCCTTGCGGTGGCCGCCGAGGAGGGAGAGGTGGATGACGCGGCTGCCGGCCGGATGGCTCTCCGACGAGTGCCACAGGCCGCCGCCGCCGTCGTCGTGCCGCGGCGCCACCGGAAGCACCCAGAGCGAGAGCAGCGTGCCGACCGGCCCGACGACAGCGAGCACCGCCATCAGCTCGCGCGCGCCGAGGGCGCACGAGTAGCGCGGCGTTGACTTGGCCGGACGGCGGAGCTTCTTCACCTTCTCGCTCCGCGGCGACGCCAGCGGGAGCGGCGGAGGCTGCCGCCGGCCAGGCCGCATCTCCGCCTCGGAGCCGCAGCGGCGGATGCCTATCTCGGCGTCGCTGTCGCCGCCGGTGCCGGGCGGGGCTCGCATCCACCGCATGGTGGCCGCCAGCCCGTGAGGGCGTCAGAGTGAGCGGCGGAGGTCAGCGGTTGCGACGCTCAAACATCTGGAACTGGCTCGCACGACCTACCGTGCGGCGGGCAGGGCTATCGGAATAAGAATTCAAAATCCACTTGGGGGCACAGGACTCTGACGGGTGTGTTTGCCGTGGAAAATTCTTCTTTCCCAATGAGGCAAATGAGGCGCGAGAGTTTAGTTGACCGTTTGCAGCCGAACGTATGTCCCTCGTACTGCGACCCATCACACCAACCCGCAGCGGCCCACGCTGTGGCGACGGGCGCAGCGACATCCTCCTCTCCGCGGGCGAGCTCGTGCTTGGGAGAAAGGCCGCCGTGCCTGTCCCGGGAGTAGAGACCGTGACCGAGGACCCTCGTGTGTCGCGGCAGCACTGTCGCCTGCGAGTGGCGGAGGACACGGCCACCGTCGCCGCCATCGGCGACGCAGTAATTGTGCACTGGCGTGCCGGCAAATCGACACCGCTCCGTGGCGTGGCCACGCAAGATCTGCAGCCCGGTGATGAGATACTGCTCGTGGAGCCGGACCGGAAAGCCTGGGGTGCGTCGGCGCGCTTCGAAGGGCAGTCGTGCGCCTACTCGGTCGCCACGACCACACCACTGCGCCTCGTTCCGCTCGATCCTGCTGCTGCACCGTGGGCGTGCGGCTGGCGGAACGGTGTTTTGGACGTTGCACTCGAGGAGGACGGCAAAGAGGTGGTGCTTGGGCGATCGACGGCAGCCGGAACGAGCTGCGGGCCTCACCACCCACTCGCCGACCCACGCATCTCGCGCGATCACGTGGTGCTGCAGCAGCGGCCCGGGCAGCTCGCGACGTGCCGCTGCCTCAGCGCAAACGGAGCTTCCTCCTCTCCGTTGGTGGCGCCGGAACCGTCTCGGAACTTTCTCCGAACCACCGGAGCCCTCGTGTAGGCGTCCTCCTCTCGTTGCCTGCGGCGGGCGTCTCGATCCTGCCGAAAGAGGCAGACACCCACTCCCTCCCGCCACACACCCAGCCCGCACGGTCCGGCACGCCCCTGAGTGTGCTGCCGCCGCTCCCGTCGTCGCCCACCACGCGCAGGCGTCGTGCCAACTTCCGCTCGGCGCAGTGCTGCAGCTTGTGTATGAGCCGCACACCCCGGCGACCGGGCCGTCTGCCCCGTTTGAGGGCAACTGCTGCGCGTACGTCGTCTCGCAAGAGAGGCCGTGCTTGCTCAGCCCGCGCTGGCCCTGGCAGCTGCCAGACCCGCGCCGTCCGGTGGTTGTGCCGGGCAGCGACGCCGAGGCGCGTCCTCTCTGCCGCCCTCTCCCGATTCCGCCTCCCTCCATCCACCCTCCCCGCCGCCTCAAACCTCCCCCCCTCACACCTGCACACCCTCATGACTCCCCACATACTCCTCCCCTCACCCTCACACCCTCACGACTCCTCCCCTCACATAACATAATCCTCTCCTCACACCCTCGCACCCTCGCACCCTCGCACCCTCACCCCCCACCCCCACCCCCACCCCCACCCCCACCCCTCAGGCACGGCTTGGTCGCCACACCGCCGCGAGGCCAAACGCGTGGGGCATCCTCCACCCGCGCGTGTCGACGGCCTGCGTGCGGGTTCGCGGCGGGCCGGGCCCGCCCTCGCTCAAGGTCACCGGAGTCAACCCGGTCCTCCTCCTCCGGGGCGACGAGGGCGACGGGGGCGACCGGATCGACAACAAGGGTGCGGAGGGTGCGGAGAGTGCGGAGAGTGCGGGGGGTGCGGGGAGTGCGGAGGGCGGGCGCGGCTCAGACCGCAGGCGGCAGCTGCTCCGACGCGGCGAGGAAGAGGCGCTGGCCGCGGGCGACATCGTCGAGCTCTGCCCTAAACTGCCGGGCGCGCTTGCGCCGGTCCTCCAGCTCTGCGGCTGCACGTGCGCGTACCGCGTTGAGTTCGAGGAGAGCTCAGCGCCCACAGCGCAGGAGGGCGCTCGTGGCGGGCGTGGCGGGGCGGCGGGCGAGGCGGCGGGCGAGGCGGCGGGCGAGGCGGCGGGCGAGGCGGCGGGCGAGGCGGCGGGCGAGGCTGCGGAGCGTCAGGGGGCGTCGCAGGAGGCGGATGCGTCGGAGGAGGTGGAGATGGGCGAGGCGGAGGAGAAAGATGGAGCCGAGACGGTGGAGGCTGGCACCGATGAAGATGTTGGCACTGGTGATGAGGCGGAGGCGGAGGAGGAGGAGGAGGATGGAGCGGAGGCGGGGGGTGGGGCGGAGGCCGAGGCAGAGGCCGAGGCAGTGGCTGAGGGCGCGGCGGCGGTCGAGGCGGCGAGGGCGATGGACGTCACAGAGGCAGAGGGGGGGGGCGCAGAGGTGGAGGTGGAGGTGGAGGAGGAGGCAGAGTCGCAGGCGTCCGTCGCGGACGCCCGGGCGCTCGCTGAGTCCGCCGAGCCCGCGATGCCGCCGCCCGAGCCGCCGAGGGGCGAGCGGAGAGAGGAGCGCGCCATGGACGAGGACCAACCGAACGCCGAGACCGAGCCGCCGGAGGCCGGCGCCACGGAGGCCGACGCTGCGGACGGACGCGCCATGGACGAGGAGCCGAGGGAGCGCGGCCGAAGCGGCTGCGGAGACCGCCGCCGGAGCGGGCGGGCGGTGCCGCAGGAGATCGGCGAGGGCAGCCGCGTCGCCGCAGTGTTCAAGGTGGGCGTGGGAGGGCGCGACAAGACCATCTGCGGCGAGGTGCTCCGGGTGCACGCCGGCAGCAGCCTCTGCGATGTCAAGTTCGCGGACGGCGAGGTGTGGTACAACTTCAGCAAGCACAAGCTCAAGGCCGCGGCTGGCGCGGGCGAGCCGGACGCGGCTGACGCCAACCCCGAGCGACATCCAGAGCCACGCGGCCGCAGCGGCGCGGCTGGCGCGGGGAAGCGGCGCCGGCAGTGTGCGGAGGACGAGTCGCGTCGAAAGACGCTCGAGGCACTGCCGCGCACGCGGCCCCGCCCGACTGGCCCGCCGCCGGCGATCGAGGCGGCGATGGGCGGAGAGGCGATGCCGCGCGTGCGGGTGCGTCCTCCGAGGGCCCCTGCCGAGCCGGCGCCGCCTGCCGAGCTGGCAGTGCCGGCGGCCGAGACTATGCCGCCGGCGGAGCCGGAGGCGCTTGCCGAGCCGCCCCTCGCCGCGCCGCCACCTCCTCCGCCTGCGCCTCCGCCCGCGCATGCGCCCGAGCCGGCGGCGGAAAAGCTTCCGCCGGGGTGGAGCAAGATCTACGACTTTGGAAAGGTCAAGGGCTACCGCGGACCGGCCGGCGAGCGCGCGGGCACGAAGAAGGAGGCGTGGCGCCGGCACCGGGCGGAGGCGGAGGCGCAGGCGGAGGCGGAGGCGCAGGCGGAGGCCGAGGTGGAGGCGGAGGCGGAGGCGGAGGCGGAGGCGGAGGCGGAGCCCCCCGAGGCCGCACAGGACCACTGGGTGCGCTGTGACAGTTGCGGCAAGTGGCGCTGCCTGCCCGCCGGCTTCTCTGCCGACGACTTCGTGTCGGCGGAGTGGTTCTGCAGCCTCAATCCCGACCCGGCGCCGTGAGCGCCGCGAGGCGCCGCGGGGAACACCTGCGCCTGTGACACATCCGTGACACGTCCCTTAGGTGCGGGACAACTGTGAGGCGCCCGAGGAGAGCGAGGCGGAGGCGGCCGAGCGGGTGGCGATGGAGCAGATGGCGGAGGCGGCGGCGAGGCTCGCGGAGCAAGAGGAGGCGAGAATGCCCGAGAGTGCCCATGAGCACCCGAGATCGACCGAGATTGACTGAGATCGCGGCGAGGCGAGACTCGAGGAAGAGCAGGACACCCCTCCAGCCCTCCTCCATTTTGGCGGACGATGACACGCCCATGCCACGCCCCCCAGGAGCGCGAGGAGAGGGAGCTGCGCGAGCGCGCGCAGGCCTTCGCCGAGATGGACGAGGAGGTGTCGTTCGGCGACGACGGGCTGGACGATTGCGACGACGAGATCGAAGAGGAGGAGGGTGAGGAGGAGGAGGCCGCGTACTGCGAGGCGGCAGAGGCGCCCCTCCTCGCCTCCGCTCGCCCCGCCCCGCCCCCTTTCCGCATCTCACCCTCAACCCTCGCGCCTCCCTCCTCGCAGGAGTTTGCGGCGAAAGCGGGCGCCACGGCCCTCGTGCCATGGAGCGACGGCGGCGAGGCGGCCGCAGCGCATGCCACGGCGCCGCCGGCGCCGCAGGACGGCCCTAGCGGCTCGTGGGAGGAGCGCGACGATTTTGTGAGGCCGGGGCACCCGGGCTTCCGGAAGTTCGTCCGGCAACGGATGGCGGAGAGTGGTGCGCACCAGACACTTCCGAGGCACTTCCGAGACACTTCCGAGACACTTCCGAGACCGGACCCTCTCACCCCTCCCCGCCACCTCCACCACCTCCCAGCACACCAACGCATGCCTCTCGCAGGAGTTCCGGCCAACCGCAGCGTCCTGCCGCCCGGCGAGCTTCGCCCTGCCGCGTGGCTCGCCGGCCGCCCGATCCGGCTGCAGCCCTACCAGGAGACGGTCTCCTTCGTCGCGCGGCCAGAGTCCTTCTCCAGCCCGCGCATGCTGGTCGTGCACCGCACTGGCGCGGGGAAGACGGCGACCATGATTCGCGTGGCCGACAACTACTATCGAGACCGGCGGCCCAAGGTCGTCATCTTCCCGACCAACGCCGTCTGCCGCAACTTTTATACCGAGCTGCGCAACGCCCACTTCCCAAACCGGTATGCCTCGTACCTCGACATGCTGCACAGCGAGGGCGGCCCGACCAGCGGCGACCGGGACAAAAAAGACCTCGCGCTTCACGGGCTGCTCAAGCACGGTCGCATCCCCGATGGCTTCCTCGCGAGCCCCAGCCTGCCGGCCGCCCCGCTGCGGGCCTTCACCTTTACCCAGGCGGGCGGCGCGACGAGCACGGGCGACAACATCAACGCCGTCTTCAAGTGTCCCGACGGGTACGCGGGCGGCTACCCCCGGCGCCTGCCTCGCAACGGCGGCTACTCCGACTACACAAACCTGCACAACCCGATGAGCAACAAGGTCATCCTGCTCGACGAGGTGCACAATTTGATCCGGCCGAGCGCAGAGATCCTTCGCAACCCGCGGCGGCTCGAGATGCTCAAGCGGTTGCGCGTGCTCCTCGCGACGGCCGAGAACTCCGTGATCCTCGGCTTCACCGGCACGCCCCTCTGCGACAGCGACACCGACTTCCAGAAGCTGCTCGGCATCTTCAAGGGATGGGCTGACTCGCGGGGCACCGTCAAGGACCTGTCTCACGAGGGGTTCTTCTCTTTCTACATGGACACGCCGCTCTCCGTCTTCCCGGCGGTCCGGCCGGCTGGCGTCCTCACGGAGGTGCCCGACGCGATGGTGCGGCGGTGCACGCTGCGCAACTTTGCGAGCGAGGCCGGGGCGGGCTTCCTCTTCGGCCGTGGCGGCCGCGCGGCCTATCAGGAGCAGGTCGCCCGCGAGCGAGAGCGGCGCCAGAGCGTACCGCTCGACCGCCTCCCGCCCGACTCTCTGCACCGGCTTTCGCTCTACTGCTCCGTGCCGCAAGCCGGCGGCTACCCGGGGCGCAGCGACGTCGCGGCTACCCTGCTCGGACAAAGCGGCAAGCTGCTGCGCACGTTTTTTGCAAAGGTGCCGCAGACGCCGCTCGGCTATGCGCAGCAGCGGCGGCGCCTGATTGGCTACAGCGCAAAGCTGGCGCGGGTGGCGGACGACGTGTGCGCTCTGCAGGCGCCGGGCGGCGACTTGCCCAAGGTCTTAATAATGATACACCGCTCAGCGGGCTACAAGGCGCTGCTGCGCCACTTGGGTGCGAGGCTGCCCAAAGGGTCGGTGCGGGGCTTCCCTTGGGCGAAGGGCGCAGAGGTCGCCGACGAGGAGCTCCACTCGCTGCTCGGCGACAAGCACGACGGCACCAGCGGCTGCGGCTGCTCGCTCTGCGCCTTCAACACGCCGCTCGGCGGTTGCGTGCGCGTGATGGTGGCCGACGCGAAGGAGTGCGGCGAGGGCGTCTCCTTTCTGGGCGTGCGCAAGCTGCTGCTCACCGACCTCCCCGCCGACCCGCTCACCTTCATCCAGCGCGTCGGCCGTTCGGTCCGCTTCAACGGCCACGCATCGCTGCCGCCTGAGGAGCGCACTGTCGACGTGCTCATGTACGCCGGCGTGCTCAAGAAAGAGTACTCGCATCGGGGGACGGAGCCGTCAGCGGACGAGCTGTTGCTGGCGCGCTTGCGCAGCGAGCTGCGCCAGTACTATGTCGATCTCGGCCGGCTGAAGGGCATTGCCTTCGACGAGGGGTGCTGGCAGGAGGAGCCAGAGGACACGGTCCCGGCGGGAGCCGGGGACCAGCCAGCGGGCTCTGCGGCGGGCTACGACGAGGGCGAGGCCAGCGCGGGGGAGGGGGAAGAGGAGCGCTGCCGGCGTGAGCGCGAGGAGGCGCGCAAGCAGCAGCAGCAGCATCAGCAGCGCGAGCAACCGCCGCCGCCGCCGCCGCAGGGTGCGCCGCCGCCGCGGGAGGAGGAGCAGCGGCAGCGGCAGCAGCGGCGGCGGCCGCAGCAGGAGTGGCGGCGGCGTGCTGCCTCGGCGCCGCCCCGCGAACGGCCGCAGCCCCGCCCTGGCCCGAGTGGCCCGATCGGCAGCTCGGACGCGGACAAGTACGTCCGGCAAATAATCCTGGCTGCCGACGATGCGTCGCACGCCTCCGAGCGCGCGAGGCTGGCCGCGATGCTGGACATCGCGCCGAACAGGGACGCGAGGGCCTTCCGCATGTCCTACTTTGTCATCATCAAGGCCATCCACCCGGACAAGTGCAGGGAGGCCACCTACCTGTCGTGGTACGAGCTGGCCACCAAGCTCCTCAACGGCCTCTATGACACCGTCAAGGCACGGCTTTGATGCCGCTTGCTGGGCGGTTGCGGGTTGGACGAGCCCTGCTTAGAAGGAAAAGGTTTTCTGCAAGGTCCGTATGGCTCACCGTGTAGTCGGCCGGGTGCTCGCCTCGCCTCTTACTAGGCGCGCCTGATGATCCACCAGACGCACTGGGACGGAGAGGCGGTGTCCTTTGCAGTAAAAAGTGATTTTTCTTTTCGTTCTTCACGGCACACACACAGCCACACACAGTGACATCCCAATTCCCATTGGTTGTCGTCGTCAGTGAGAATCGCCGGCCGCCCCCCTCACGCGATGTCCCGATTCCGCGCGCCGTCGCCGCGAGCGTGCCGCTCCCCGAGCTGCCGAGGAGAGAGCGGGCATGGCACTCCCTCCCCAGCCCGCAAGGCGGCCCACCCCTGCCCCCTCAGCCGCCCTGCGTCGCGAGTCCGCCGTGGTGCTTGCGCTGCTTGACGACGCGGTCGGCCATCCAGACCATCACGCAGTGCAGGCCGACGAAGAGCGGCGCGAGCGCAGCCTCGAGGAGGGGCCTCGCGCGAGGGTAGTGGCCTAGGCACAGCTCTCGGCTCTTTGCGGGCCGCTTCCCTCTCTCCTTGTCCTCAGCCTCGAGGG